CCCTTTAAGCACAGCCCTTGGCTAGCCTGAGACAGCATCTCCACGCTCTAAGTCCTCCTCTGATGCCCTGCCGGCACTGCTTCCGGCCATCCTTAACCCCGCTTCAGGGTCCACTTAATGTGGACGCGCTAGTTCGAATTAGCAAAACGCTAATTCGAACTAGTTTTTAGTTCTAGATGCGTTAGTTCGAATTAGCTGTAGTGTAGACATACCCTGAGATATAGGTGAGAGGATTATTCTAGGAGGGGTGAGTGAGATTTTGTGGCCTGCACTGTGCAGGGGGTCAGACTAGATGATCATAATGATCCCTTCTGACCTTAAAGTCTATGAGTCTGAGAAAAAGGGAATAAAATTCAATATGGATTTGCCAAGGCAGATGTTGCCAGATTAATCTGGATTTTTTTTATTAGATAACTGATACATTTTAAACAAGTGAAATGTAGGAGGTATAATCTGGACTTCAGTAAAGCATTTGAATGAGTCCCACACATGAAATTATTAGTTGTAATACAGACAATGGAGATTAGTACAGGACCTGTAACTGCATAAAGAACTGACTAATAGATGATGCCACCCATTTCCAATGAGCACCTCCATCAATAGATGAGGATCTGCTCTCTGCTTGTAGTGCCCTCTGTTGGCAGGTAATCTTGCCAGATAGGTCTGCAGAGGCTCAGCACTTTCTAAGCTATATTCTTACATGTTTGAATGCAGAAAGAAAAAGAGCCAGTCCGTGCCATTGGAATTTCTTTAGCCCCCTCTCTGGACTAAGATTTCAGCCCGTTATGGGCCAGCCTACAATCTATCCTGCTCTCTTGGGGTATGTATACACAGCAACATTATTATAATGTCAAAATACTGTCAAGCTGGAGGACTTCTTACTCTGACTCTTGTAACCCTCACTGTATGGGTTATAAGCTATTTCGAAATAAGATACACAATTGATGTAGCTCAATTTGCATAGCTTATTTTGAGTTAAGCCCTGCAGTGTAGATGCACCCTTGCAGAGTAGTTTCCACCCTGGCCTTCTCCCTGGAGTCCTGCCTTTCACTGGGGCCTCTAAGCAACACTTGTCCCCTTCTCAAAACTTGACCATTCTGCCAGTGACCTGACGTGGGCCCACCCACTATTCTGGATCCTAAGCCAGGAAACCTATAAATAACAATCACTTACTGCTTTTGTTACATTGCTGCTATTCCCTGAGCCGCTTTCCACACGTCCCCTTTCCACTTTATCTTTACCTCAGGGCTGAAGTTATCACTTGAGCTCCCACATCCAGCAAAGAGCATCTTTCTTTTGCCACGTCCCAACAAGCAACTGATCTATTAAGGGCCTGCAGCTCTTTTTAACTGAGTCTGGTGTGTGCGGATTGGCCACTTCACCACAGCCTCTCTAGGTAGGCCTGGAGTGGAGTGTGATGGAACAAAAAGCCTCCAGCAGGGAGATCTCAAAGGTCCTTATCCACTCCATCACAGAGAAAGAGGGCTATACTGAAAGGAGAGCTGTCCATCTGGAAGGAGATGACTGATTAAGTTCCCTGAGGATCTATTTGAGGACCAATCTTGAATATTTTTTTCTTTAGTGACTAATGGCACAGGAAGTGGAAGTGTGCTAATGAAATTTCCCAATGACACAAAGTTGGGATGCATGATCAGTACAGAGGAGGAATGGAATATTATACATGAAAAATTGGGTGAGTTAGAGGATTAGACTAAGAAATTGGATGAAATTTAATACAAATTCATGCTCTTAAGGAATAACAAGAATTTCTGCTTTAAACTTGAGACTCAGCAGTTGGAAACAGGAGAAAGACCCATGTACATTAGTTAATCACAGGATAAAAACTGCCAGTATAATGTGGCTTTGAAAAAGTCATATATGATCCTACAATATATGCAAACTATTTCCAGTAAAGATATAGGTAAAGTACTAATGTTATTGTGTGAGGAATTGGTAGGGTCTCAGCTAGAATACTGTGCACGATTCTGATAACCCATGTTCAAGAAAAATTATTTCAAGCTGGAAAAGATGCAGAGGAAGACTACTAGGATAATCAGGAATGGAGAGCTGGTCTTACTAGAGGAGACCAAAAGAGCTTGGGTTGTTTAGCATAGTAAAATGCAGGGTGAGAGGGAATACAGTTGTTCTCTCTATATACATCAGGGTAGCAATTACCCTGGAGAGAGAACTATTTAAGGCTAAAGACAATGTAGGCACAAGAACCAAAAGGTATAAAAGAACCATGAATAAATTCAGGAAGAGGTTTCTAGCAATCAGAGAAGTGATGTTCTGGTACAGCTTTCCAATAGGTAGCTTGTTTGCCCCTATTACATGTAGTTTTAAGGTCAAGCTTGATAAATTTGAAGTATGAGATTGATTGACTGGATTGCCTGTGATAATCGGAAATTGGGCTCAGTGACCAAAAAGATCCCTTTCTATGCTATACATATTTGTTGGTTTTGGATTATGAACTTTTGGGGCAGAGGTTATGCCTGTGAAGATGTTTTTGTGCAGTGCAGAGCGTGGTGATCTACAAATCTGATGATGCCTTTGTACAGCAATAGTTGCCAGATAATAATTATCATGGAAGAAAGTGCAAAAATAATTGAGAGAAACAGACGTGATGGGCTAGTGAAAGCTGGCATCAGTGGAAACATAAGAGAAGGGACAGAGCTATGAAGAAGCCTGTTAACAAGCAGTTTGAACTTAATGTTGGGAACAAAAGGGAGCAGGTGGAGGAACTGAGAGCTCAATCCAACTCTTATTAAAGTCAGCGAGGAGAGATGTTTCTTAGTGGTTGAATCAGGCAGAAGTGATAAAATGGTCAGGGAGATTGACTTACTAGCTATGGTTTGAATGGATTTAAAGGCTGTGTATTATTTAAGAGGATGCAGTACGCAAGATGGGGGAAATGAAGGCATGGGCTAAAATTTTGGTTGTGGATGGAAATCATCATAAAAATACTGGGAAGAAAGAAACAACAAAATTTGGTCACAACCTGGATGAAAGAAAGAGAAGTCCGTGATGCCAACCATATGATAGGAACGATGATATTTCAGTCAAGAAACAGCTAAAAGAGGTTCAATGGGCTCTTTTTGAGGTGGGAAAAATTCAATTTTGAATACTTCTTGTTTAATTTGGTGGGAATGTTAGAGAAACAAGTTGAGATGCAAGATTTAATATAAAGAGACAGGTTTGGGGGTGGAAGGAAGGTAAATTTGGAGGTGATTAAAAAGATAGCTTAAGCCACGAGGGCAAATAAAATTACTAAGGAAAGAGTTTAAAGTGAGAAGACCAGGGATGGGATTATAATGGACTCTCCACCAGAGAGTATGAGAAGGGAATATTAATTAACTTGTAACCAGTAAAAATGGACTATTAAAAATGCGGGACTGTCAGTACTAGAGGACTTGCTCATGTTTTGTTAATAAATTTTGCAATCAATTTATCCTTGAATTCCTGCCTGTCTTGGCAGCAAAAGAAACTGTGTGAGAAAAGAATCCAGTCATTTCTCTCTGATTCTGAGCTTGACGTAATTATGCATCCCTTTGTCAGTCTGCTGCTTGGATGAGAGACTTGCAAAAAAACCTAAAAGCATTATTAGACGTGAAGCAATTCCCCAGTGTGACCTTATGGGGTTTATGTTGCTGGAAGTGGTTATCCCTTAGATATGATGTAAAGCTGCATTCATTATTTGTCATTAGAGAAGAGTACTGTTCTTTGGATCTTTATACTAATAACTCAGCTATTGCATCATAATTCTGTGCTGGGTAATTACATTTGTTTAACTAAAATTTCTCGTGCTGTTTCTCCTTACTCCTAAAACATTGTTGTGATTGACTTCAGAATGGCTATTGCAGTGAGAGGAAGGAATTGACATTTTGTGTTTAGTTCTTTATTTTTATAAGGCTAAGAATAAAACTTTAACTGTTTGATTTATTTTTAAGAAGTTGACTTTGATGTCTTTTCACCAAGAGGATGACTTTCATTATTGTTTTAAGCAGCTGCAAAGCAAGATATTCTTGGTGAGCTGACCTGACAAATAGGGACATAGAATCTAGTTCATGTTGAGCTAATACTAATAGCATTATTGTATTTAAATTTAAATTAAATTCTAATTTAAATTAGAAACGGAGCAACCCACATCTTGGAATTTTACTTCACTGTACTGAACTTTGGTTTTGTTCAGAACAACCTGGTTATCTCAGCATGGATCGATCTAGGTCTCGTTTGGGGGGAGGTGATGAGCAAGCCTCTCCCATGGAGCACAGTCATGGTGAAGATGAGAGACAATGGCAGCAGGAGCGCCTTAGCAGAGAAGAGGCCTATTACCAATTCATTAATGAACTCAGTGATGAAGACTACAGGTTAATGAGAGACCACAATCTTCTTGGCACTCCTGGTAAGATATGGATGGTTACGGCAGAGGAGACCATACACCAGCATAAATCTGTAGTAGTATTATGCCAGCGTAACTGAAAGTACAATTTGGTCTGTGTAGCAGGAACTCTGAAAAGTGAGATTTTTTTTTAAGTTGCTGGCATATCTCTTAACAATCAGTGATTTTAAATGGAAATTAAAGCTTGCAAAACAAATTCTTTTCATAGCTTAAAGCAAGAGTGAGCAATAAGTGGTCTGGAGGCTGGAAGTGGCTCATCAGGGTTAGCCACTTTATTTACTTGAGCATTCACAGGCACGGCCACTTGCAGCTCCCATTGGCTGCGGTTCGCCATTCTTGATCAATGGGAGCTGTGGGAAGTAGTGACGTGGCCTGTGCCACTTCCCACAGCTCCCGTTGTCCATCAGTGGTGAGCCGCCATTGACAGCCACCATCTTAATGTTTAGATTTTTAATATGCATCTAAGTGATAACACTGAAAACATGAGCTTCCAGTGTATTACAATTTTAAGTATGATATTTTTAAATGAACATTTTAGTTAGGCATGTTAAAAATTGTGTAATAGGGTAACTGTAACCACTGAAAATCTCAGCAGTTACATACGCTGCAGGCTCTGTGCCAGCGAAGCCTCCTCCCCGAGGGGGCTAAATGTAACTGACACCATTAACTGATAAGCATACGGTTATTTGTTAAATGGTTAATTGTGTGCACTCTAACATCCCTACTTAGAGTACATCTTGTATAAAAGAGAATTTTTTCAGCATCTGAATTCTAAGAGCATATTGATGCTAATAGATTGACAGTTTATAATGACATGCAGTCTTCTGCTTAGATACATTTAGTTCCTTTGTGGTGCCTACTTTTATTCTACTGTCTGTGTTTGTATTGATTGTCTGCTATATATTTGAGACCGTATGTGTGTCTGTCTGTGAGTCTGTTTAAGAACTACTCCTAAACAGTAAGAGCTAGGACCACCAAATTCGGTATGTGGCTTCCTCTTATCATAACTTAAAGCAAGGTCAAGGTTTGGTTGTGCAAAAGAGTGGGATGTGTGTGGAATGCAACTGTTTCTCACCAAACAGAAAGGGAAGGGTGTGATAGCAGGGATAGTAATACTCAGGAATGACCACATAGAGGTAGCAAGCGTGAGAGACCCCTGAATAACCACCGGAGGCACACAGCACCCTAGTGCTGGAGAACAGTCACTGGCCAACAGCATGACCCTAAACGCTGTCCTGAGTTCCCACACCTCAGCCCCCCTACCCCCACACATACACACGCACCTCACAACCCCCTCCCCTGATTCCTGCACTCCCCACTACCTAGGCCCCTCCTAGCTCCCCAACCCTGACTCTTGAGCCCCCCACATCCCCAAGATCCTACCCTGACTCTGCACCCTGCACACTCCCAGCCCTCTGCTGTGAAGGACCTGAACAATACTGGGTAAATCTTCTAGTAATCTTATAATCATGTTGGTGTCTCTTCTATGTCTTAGTGTTTTTATATTATTTTTGAATATTGATGTAACAAAAGAAATATAGGAAACAATTTCATTGTTATAATTGTATAAAAAAGTAATATGCAAATGTTCTTGACAATCAAAATAACTTACTGAAAGCCTGATGACATAATTACCTAAGTATGTGAACTATTTCAGGAGAAATAACCTCAGAAGAATTACAGCAACGTTTAGAGGGGGCAAAGGAGCATCTAGCATCTCAAACTGATGTAGAAAATAGGGAAGGTGAAGGAGAAACAGCTGGAGGTAAACTTTCATCCTTTATGTCTATACATAACACATTGGGGTTTTTTTGTTTTGTGTGGGTGTTTTAATATATATAAATAAATACTGGCCTATTCAAGTGGCATTCATTCTAAGTCTGGTTTATTATTTATTTATTTTTATTCTGTGTAACTCTTTTTCTCCAGGTAGCAAAATGAACAGAATGTATATCCTATGAAAGTAAATTAACTTACATTACTTCACAGTAAATGATTTAGGTTGGCAACATATTATTCAACCTGACCCTTACCTCCAAAAAGCAATATTTGCATAGAAATAACATACTTATTTCTGCCTTTTAAAAATAAAGACAGATCAAACTATTTTTTTCTTTATTATAGAATTGGCCAACAGCTGACATTAGGAGAGAAATGATTTTGTTTTTAAAAACTAATCTTTTTTAAAAAACAAACTTGTCCTTCTTTTTAAAAAAGGTAAATTCTATGCTGAAATTAATATTCTCTTCCTAGATAGATAGATAGTTAGGTCAAAAAAGACTGTTTAATTCCCAGATTAAAGCTCCCAAATTTGATTAACTTCTTTATATCACAGTCTCTTTATTTCTTTGAAAAATCCATCTAATTATAAGCACTTCTTTGTGAAATCAGATCTGGTGAGTAGTCTCGTGGCCCTTCATTAATCTGACTGAGCCAAAAATCTAGCTCTATTTGTGTGAGAATAAGTGTTTTTTATTCTGTGGAGTGGGAAGATTTTTTTTTCTATAAACAAAATTGTACCAAAGGTTCACATCTTTCATTGTGAGCTGGAAGGAATCCTATATGTATAAATGGGTGGAAGAAAAGAGTTGAGCAGGAAAAGAGACTTAATTTTCCAGAGTCTTGTTATCCAAGGGATAATTCTAAATAGTAAATAAAAATGTGACAGTTTAAAATTGAAATAACTTGTCTACTTCCTTATTAATCATTGAGAGAATGCTGAATGATTAGTCAGTTTTCTTGATGAAGACTATAACATAGTTCAGGGGTGGGCAATAATTTTTAATGGGGGGGCCGCTCCAAGATTTTGGTAAGTGGTCAAGGGGCATACTTTTATATGGATGAAGTGTAGGGTCTGGGATGGAGGTTGGGTGCAGAAGGGAGTGCAGGGCAGGGAATTGGGGTGCAGGAGGGTGTGTGCAGTCTGGGAGGAAATTTGGGTGAATGGAGGGAGTTTGGATATTGGGGTGGTGACCTGGGTCAGGGGTGCGCGAGGTAGGGGTTGCCAAATGCAGGCTCTGGATGGCAGGTGCTTACCTAAACTGCTCCTGGCCAGCAACCCAGCACAATTCCTGCAGCCCCAGGCTGCTAAAAGCTTCCTATTATCAAAACTTAAAGTAACCTAAGGGTTCGGTTGTGCCAGGAAGTGGGTTGTGCCAGAAATGAGATTCTGTCTTTTTTCTGTTTGGTTTTAAGAGAAGCAATCACAAAATCAAGTACCGGTACTGTCCTCAAAACTGTTATAAGTCAGCAAATGTTGAAAGAGACTGAACCAGAGGTGAAAGCAAGTGGTGTGCCTTGGTATGCCACTCTGGTAAGAAGGAGCTGGCCAGTTGGGGTGCTTGGCTGCTGGAATAGGTGGTGCGTGCTCCCAGCCTGGCCACCAGGGTTCTGCTACAGGCTGCTGCACTAAGCACGAGGCAGCCAGGCTGGTGAAAGAGGCGCGCACGTGCGCGCACACACACACACACTCTCCAACCCTGATTCCTGCACTCTCCCACACACCCCAACCCTCTGCCTTGAGCCCCCCAACACTTTACCCCACACTTAAATTTCTTACTGGTACTGGTGTTTCACAACCTCACCTCCACACACATCACAGGAGGAGTTGTGATACATCAGCGCCTATAACAAATGTGAGTTACTTTTACCTCTGGACTGAACCAAGATGAGCCAGAATCATAGAATACTAGGACTGGAAGGGACCTCGAGAAGTCATCGAGTCCAGTCCCCCGCCCTCATGGCAGGACCAAATACTGTCTAGACCATCCCTGATAGACATTTATCTAACCTACTCTTAAATATCTCCAGAGATGGAGATTCCACAACCTCCCTGGACAATTTATTCCAGTGTTTAACCACCCTGACAGTTAGGAACTTTTTCCTAATGTCCAACCTAAACCTCCCTTGCTGTAGTTTAAGCCCATTGCTTCTTGTTCTATCCCCAGAGGCCAAGATGAACAAGTTTTCTCCCTCCTCCTTATGACACCCTTTTAGATATCTGAAAAAGCTATCATGTCCCCCCTCAATCTTCTCTTTTCTAAACTAAACAAACCCAATTCCTTCAGTTTTCCCTCATAGGTCATGTTCTCTAGACCTTTAGTCATTCTCGTTGCTCTTCTCTGGACCCTCTCCAACTTCTCCACATCTTTCTTGAAACGTGGTGCCCAGAACTGGACATAATACTCCAACTGAGGCCTAACCAGCGCAGAGTAGAGCGGAAGAATGACTTCTCGTGTCTTGCTCACAACACACCTGTTAATGCATCCCAGAATCATGTTTGCTTTCTTTGCAACAGCATCACACTGCTGACTCATATTAAACTTGTGGTCCACTATAACCCTAGTTCTGCCATACTCCTTCCCAGACAGTCGCTTCCCAGTCTGTATGTATGAAACTGATTGTTCCTTCCTAAGTGGAGCACTTTGCATTTGTCTTTATTAAACTTCATCCTGTTTACCTCAGACCATTTCTCCAATTTGTCCAGGTCATTTTGAATTATTACCTTATCCTCCAGATCAGTCGCAACCCCTCCCAGCTTGGTATCATCTGCAAACTTAATAAGCGTACTTTCTATACCAATATCTAAATCGTTGATGAAGATATTGACCAGAGCCGGTACCGAGACAGACTCCTGCGGAACCCCACTTGTTATGCCTTTCCAGCAGTATTGTGAACCATTAATAACTACTCTCTGAGGACGGTTATCCAGCCAGTTACAGTTACGCACCCACGTTATAGTAGCCCCATTTAAGTTATATTTGCCTAGTTTATTGATAAGAATATCATGCAAGACCGTATCAGATGCCTTACTAAAGTCTAGGTATACCACATCCACCACTTCTCCCTCATCCACAAGACTCGTTATCCTATGAAAGAAAGCTATTAGATTGGTTTGACATGATTTGTTCTTTACAAATCCATGCTGGCTGTTCCCTATCACCTGGCCACCTTCCAAGTCTTTACAGATGATTTCCTTTAATTACTTGCTCCATTATCTTCCCTGGCACAGAACTTAAAAACTGGTCTGTAGTTTCTTGGGTTGTTCTTATTTCCCTTTTTATAGATGGGCACTATATTTGCCCTTTTCCAGTCCTCTAGAATCTCTCCTGTCTCCCATGATTTTCCAAAGATGATAGCTAAAGGCTCAGATACCTCCTCTATCAGCTCCTTGAGTATTCTAGGATGCATTTCATCAGGCCCTGGTGACTTGCAGGCATATAACTTTTCTAGGTGATTTTTGACTTGTTCTTTTTTTTATTTTACCTTCTAAAATTACCCCCTTCCCACTAGCATTCACTATTTTAGGCATTCCTACAGACTTCTCGGTGAAGACCGAAACACAGAAGTCATTGAGCATCTCTGCCATTTCTAAGTTTCCTGTTACTGTTTCTCCCTCCTTACTGAGCTGTGGGCCTACCCTATCCTTGGTCTTCCTCTTGCTTCTAATGTATTTATAAAAAGTCTTCTTGTTTCCCTTTATTCCTGTAGCTAGTTTGAGCTCATTCTGTGCCTTTGCATTTTTAATCTTGCCCCTGCATTTCTGTGCTGTTTGCCTATATTCATCCTTTGTAATTTGTCCTAGTTTCCATTTTTTATAGGACTCCTTTTTTATTTTTAGATCATGCAAGATCTCATGGTTAAGCCAAGGTGTGGTCTTTGCCATATTTTCTATCTTTCCAACACATTGGAATAGCTTGCTTTTGGGCCCTTAACAATGTCCCTTTGAAAAACTGCCAACTCTCCTCAGTTGTTT